AAAATGGTATATCTGCATTAAATATGTACAGACATTTGTTTCTTGTCCTTATTTCCTAAACAATACAGTATGACAACTACTTATACTGCATTAAGTATTGTAAGTAATCTAGAGAGGATTTGAAGTATATGGGAGGATGTGCATAGGTTCCATGCAAATATCATGCCTTTTTTTACCAAGGACTTGAATATCTATGTATGCTGGTATCCTGGGAGGTCCTGGAACCTATTCCCTACAGGAAGCAGGGGATGACTGTCTCAGCAAATTGAATCCACAATTGTACTGAAAAACTACATATAAAAATCACTGAATTTACCTTAGAAATGCAAGGATATTTAACTTTATAAAAAATCAATTCCTCTTTAACTTTTAGGAATAAGGGCCTTTTAACCCTATAAATCAAAAATCTAGAGTGTTACCTTTAATGGTAAAATATTAAAAATATTCCTTTTAAAACCACAAATGAGATAAAGATGGTAGTACTGATTCTTCAGAATAAAAGATCAAAAGCAACCATGGCAAAACATCAACCTCTGTTAAATCTGGGTGGTGAGTACATATTTGGACTATTTTCTATTAAAATAAAGAATTTTTAAACATCTACCTTTATTAACACTTATTGAGAAACTACTGGAATTTTATCTCATGTAAGGGTCTTTTATATTATTTACCCAGAAGCTAAACGCAAATTCTTTATATTTGTACGAACAATTTGTACTTCTCTGGGTACCATAACATACATTATCTGTTTCTTACAAGAAAGAGAGTATTCTCATTTTCACATGAAAAAAATTAGGCTTGCTGAGGTAAACAGAGCTGTCCAAAATGTCAGGGATGAAGGACCGAGATCTTGTGCCTTTTCATTCATTGCTTTTTCAATACCATAGTACTTCTAATGATAATTGGGCTAAGAGTGTTATACTTGTCCTTTGTAAGAGTTAGGGAAAGTCTTCATTTTGATTCATTTGGTAAAATGACCAAGTCAAAGCTTTCCCTGGGCACTAAAAAGCACAGACCACTATAAAACGTGATCTTTGGCTGTTACAGACAATTGGAAGATTTGTATTTGCTTACATGGCAGGCTTAGCAAGAAGCTGGAATCCTCCCATAACCAGGAAATTTGTAATAGATGTACAGTACCTTGAGTGGAAAAGAAAAAATGCACATTAGTGTTAAAATGTAAATCAGTTCTTCAGAGTTTTCTCACCAATGAGTTTCAGAAACTTTGGGATAACATTTGTAAACTGTAAAGGACTGAAGAGAAGGCAGGTTGTGGAATAACCACCATAATAAAGGGGGAGTAGCAAGGAGGAGAGAAGCCACTTCAGTAAAGATGGTCATATGAAAGGAAACTCTAAAATACCGACAGCCATTTACCGACAGTAAACGCTACCATTTACTTAGTAGATATTACTTGGCAACTTACTTAACAAACTTGAGAAAATACATGTAATCATTAAACTGGTTGAATTTTTAGCAAAAAATTTTTCTCATCTTCACTACAGGTTTTCCAATTAAGGCTTCAGGAACAAACAGTGAAGGTAAGAAAACATGTTAAAAGTGCTTGAGTGAGGCAGTGTTAGAAAATGTTGATTAAATATTGATATACCGCTAGAGGACAAGTCTAGACAGATATTCTGCCATGAGCTATATACATTTCTTCCATACTTCTGGGCTGGCAAAAGTAATCAACCTGACTTTGAGAGAGAAGGGAAATTCCTACTAAAAACAGCTGAAGATATTAGATTCTTAGAAAATGGTTATAATGGTAAATTTTATGTGATGTGTATTTTACCACAATTTAAAATAATTTTTCAAATTTACATATAAACCTAGATATTCTATTTGCTCCAACTACAGGAATAAAATAATATCAAGTTCTATTATTTTTATTTTTCATGTCTGAAAGATGAGGAGTTAAAAAACTCAAACCAGGGTATTTCTACTCAGACAATAACTTCAAATACATTCAATTTTGCTTAGAATTAAAATAGCATACATTTATCTGCACATGCAGAGGGTGCCAAAAAAAATGTGAACATATTTTAAGAGATGTTATTTATGTACTATTTTTCCGAATCGAATTGAAAGTACCATCACTAGTCAAACGTAGCTTCCATATGGACATGGTATACCCATCCATTTTACTGTAATTCATACACTTTGGGGGAAGGATTGATTTTACTTCCAATAAGATCACTTAAAATGTGTATACATTTTTTGGCACCCCTGGTATATGCATAAATCTGAAAGGAAATACAATAAAATGATAAACAGTGATTATCTCTGGGGGTTGGATTATGGGTGACTTATGATTATCTCTATTTGTAGAGTTTTCAGTAACAACCATACATTATTTAGGGTATAAACAACCAAAACAAAACATCAACAGAACACGAACTCCGTGACGGTAGGTGTTCTTCACTGGCTCCATGCTGTGGCTACTGTGGACTTGAGCTCCACATACTCCTGGCACTTACACTCACTCAAGTTCGTGTTTGTTGGATGGATGAAGTATGAAAGAATACAGAACAAAATCTATACGTACTTCCCATCAATGTCATAACCTGATATACAGTACAATAACACAAATTATACCTCGCAGTATGATACAAAAATATAAATTTAGGAAAAAGTGAGATATATTTTAAGTTATATTTTCAAGTATACCTGGGATAGTTTACTTGAAAAACATGAAAAGAAGCTTAAATAACTATTCTAGAAGTCATTAAGAAAATATCTTTACATTAAAAGAGTCAGGTCTTTTAAAACCTCCATTTACACAACAATAAAAAAGCAGACCTCAGGAATAGCTCCATATTTACCATTAGCAGTTGGTCTTAAAATAATTTGTTTAGTTAACTTACTTCTTCGAATTGTAGTACAATCTACTTAAGTGAACCAAAGAATCAGATGTATTATAGTATATTTTATATAAGTAGAGGATCGATCTGTCTGCTAGATTATAGAAGGAAACATATGAATTGATTATTTTTAAACCTTCTTTTGCCCTTAGAGAAAACTCTATTTTAGAAATGGAGAACTATAGTTGTCTTAAGATTAAAACACTGATTTGCAATTTCTATTACCTTATATCACTCTCCCTAATCTAGGCTCTTCTGAGTAAGGAGCTGTTCTCCTTGGCAGAAAAACCCTGCAGAGACTGAACATGACACGGGACTGGATACTTGCTCTGTATAACTATCCAAGAAGAGACTTGCATGCTTCAGAATGACCAAACTCCTGGATTCCTTTATCCCGTGAAGGAAGCTGCTCAGTGAGGCTCCATGCTGACCAATTAGGTAACACAGCTTGCTGAATCGGCTTGCCACCTCCTGCAATAGCTGAACTGTAGTCGCAGTGCCCAAATTTTCTGTAACAAAATAATAACCACAACACAATCTGAAGACAATATTCTTTATTATGATCATATGATCACAATTATAAATTCTTCTTTTCTAAGACTATTTAATATGTTGACATATATTCTCAACTAAGGAACCTAAAAAATTAGTGTTGAAAACAACATCACAGCTCACAGAGTCCAGTCATTTGAGAAGCTTGTTAAAATAAATTAATAGGCTGGGCATAGGGGCTCACACCTGTAATAGCATTCTGTGAGGCCAAGGTGGGAGGACTGTCAGCTTAGGAGTCTGAGACCAGCCTGAGTAAGACTGAGACCCGGTCTCTACTAAAAACAGAAAAAAACTACCTGGCCATTGCAGTGGGCACCTATAGTCCCAGCTACTTGGGAGGCTGAGGCAAGAGAATCACTTACTCCTAGGAGTTTGAGCTAAGCTGCTGCCAAGGCACTCTAGCCTGGGGCAACAGTGAGACTCTGTCTCAGAAAAATAAAAACAAAACAAAAAACCAAATTTATAGATGCCTTAGAGACTCTGACCCAGTACAGTCTGCTAGTTAAGATCCCAGGGCGGTTTAGTTTTTAGTTTTTTTTCATAAAGGCTTTTCAGGTGATTTGGAAGATCAGCCAAATTTGAGAACCACTAAGCTAATCAAACTCTCCTGTCATTTTCAGATAAGTAATCTGAAGGTAAAAGAAGGGAAGTAAACTGCCTAATTTCATACAATTGATAAGAGACAGCCAGGAATTAAACTCATTTCTGTGGTTATATCTCTGTTAATATTTTTAACTTTTTATACTGACTTCCGCATTCTGCTTGACTCTTAGACAAACCCAGGGGAGGCAATCCAAAAATCTGATTGTCTGGATGCTCTGAACTTTATAAAGGATATATCAGGAAATTATTTGCTTTTTGCCAGTTTAAAGTTTCTAATTTCTAGGACTTCCCTCCAAGCAATTAGACTAATCAGTAAACAAGGAAAAACCAATACAGAAATAGGAACCAGGATTGGAAAATGGCAGATTTAACTCTCTTTTCAGAGCAAGCCAGGAAGCTTCTACCTAAGACTTGCTTTCTTTCCCTTGTCAAAGTCCTGCAGTTTTAGGTGCAGGTGTTAGTCCACTGGGACTCTATAACACTTAAAATAGTAGAACACACTAAAAACAAAA